TGTTGAGTCCCCATCCCCCGAGGGCTTTAAAAGGCGTGTAGACGTGGGGCTTAGGGACATGGTTTAGTGGTGGAGTTGGTAGTTTTAGGTTAATGATGGAACTTGATGATCTTAAAGGTCTTTTCCAACCTAAACGATTCTACGATTCCCCGATTCCCTGACTTCTGGCAGGGAAAGCAAACCAACCCACGGCAGAAAGGCCGGTGAGGTGAGGACAACGTAATCCTGGCACAAAGCTGGCAGGAGGAATGGGTTTCATCCCGGTTTCTCACCTCTTCCACCTCCAGATCGATGCACCAGATGACTAAGTAATTAGCCGTCTCCTCGCAAACGAGGTGAGGGTTATCCGAGAGATATTTCTGGCTGTCGTCCCAGCGCCGCAGCATCCCTTCAAAGCAGGGCAGCCCCAGTTAGCAGAGGAAGGTTTTTTCCACTCGTTAAAAAAAGAACAGCCCCTAAACCTCATCAGCAAAAAAAAAAAAAAAAAGGGGGAGGGTGGGGGAGAGATGACTCATCCCAAGGTTAAATAAAAACCCCCCAAATTGGGATTAACGAAGGCAGCGCACGAAGCTTCGCCTCGGCTGGGCGAACAGATAAAAAATCTCGTGAAAAACACGTCAAATCGGCAACTGTTCACTGGAGCGAGCAACTTCCCAGCTGCTTCCCGAGGTTCCCCGCCTCAACGGCCGCAGGGAGCCCCCCATGGGAAGGGGGTGCCAGTCCCCCCAAACCCTGCCCGGCACTCACCGAAGTGCTTAATCTGCTTTTCATATCTCTCCACGAAAGTTTTGTGTTTTTTCTCTTTCTGTTCCTCCGTTTCTTCCTTCTCCTCCGGTTTGACGTTAAAGACGCTCTGGGGAACAGAAGGAGGTGAGCCGCCAGCCCAACGACTTGGGGGTGACACACGTGGAAGGGGGGGGGGCTCCCCCAAACCCACCTTGCTGAAGCCGTCTTTGCTGAGGGTGTCCACGTTCCAGGGCATGTTCTTTTCCTTCTTCTTCAGCTCCTCCAATTTGTTTTCCCAGCTTTTCTCTTCGTTCTTCAGTTGCTGGGCTTCAGCCTGGAGCTTCTCCAGCTCCCCCTTCCCGCTCTCCGGATCCAACACTTCCAGCTCCTTCATTTTTTTCTGGCACTCGGTGAGTTTCCGTTTGCATTCCCTGCATCCTTTATCCAGCTCTTCTTTTTCCTTCTGGAATTGCTCCATCCTCTCCACTCGAGCCTGAAGGTGACAGGATGGAAACCACGTCGGGAGAGATGCTGGGGGCATCGTTAACTCTCTCCCACGGCCCTTCCCAGCCTCGTTAGCCGCGCTCCGGGAAGCCCCACACGCTCTCCCGTTCTGTTATCCCTGTAGAATATGGTGAAGCCGCTATGATGGGAGACCAACTCCCCCAAAACACCCCGGTTTAGAGAAAAACTCAAGCCCCACCACGCAGCTCCGGACTATTTTGTTGGAATTGGGAGGGAACAACTCGGGAACCAGCTTCATTCCTGCCAAATCGGGGCCGACTCTGGAATACCACAGCTTCTGAGTCCCTGAGGATTCGGTTTACTCCAGCTCCCAGAGAACATGGGGTCGTGCAGCCACCCCACCCCCCCAGTTTACCCCCCAACTCTCTGAGCTGGGAGAAACCCTCTGCGAGAAACTGGGGGAGGGTAATCTGAGCCCAGCCCCAGGCAGGGGACGGTCCCAGGGTGACCAAACCCCTGAAACTGTCACCTCTCC